TACACAATTGATGTGTGTATGGATTGTGATAAGAGTTGTATGAGCCCCTAATAAAATGTTTAAAAAAAAAAAGAAAGAAAACCTAGACACTGGCATCGACTCAATGGCAGTAGATTGTTTGGGTTGGATATTTTACTCAGGCAAAAATGGGGGAACCGATTACAAGGATCTACATATAACCTTCTCCCTGGGGGACAGACAACAGAAAAGTGGGTGAAGGGAGATGTCAGACATTGGAAGTTACAACAAAAATAATAATTTATAAATTATCAAGGGTTCATGAGGGAGGGGGAAGCGAGGAGGGAGGGGAAAAATGAGGAGCTGATGCCAGGGGCTTAAGTGGAGAGCAAATGTTTTGAAAATGATGAGGGCAATGAATGTACAAATGTGTTTTACACAATTGACATATGTATGGATTGTGATAAGAGTTGTATGAGTCCATAATAAAATGATTTTTTAAAACTCCATAGAAAAACGTTGTAAAAAAGATAAAAAATATAAAAAATAAAATAAAATGTCTTCTTGACCATTACCATAGAAACTATTTCTTCTATTGTTGTTAGGTGTCATTGAGTGGGCTTTGACCCATAGCGGCCTTATGCACAATAAAACGAAACACTTTTCAGTTCTGCACCACCTTCACAAACATTTCTGTGCTGGAGCCCATTGTTGTAGTCACTATATCAACCCATCGCATTGAGAGCCTTCTTCTTTTTCACTGTCCCTTAACTATACCAAGCATGGCGTCCTTATTGAGGGACTGGTCTCTCTTGACATGTCCAGAGTATTTAAAATGAGGTGTCACTATCCTTAACTTTAATGAATACTCTGGGCTTACTTTGTCCAAGACAGATTTGTATGTCCTTTTGGCAGTTCATGATACTTTCAATATTCCCCGGCACCACAATTCAAATGCATGAATTCTTCTTTAGTCTTCCTTATTCAATGTCCAACTTTCACCTGCATATAGATTTACCCAATACATTGCATTGTTTGATCTCTTGAGTGTTGCTTCCATTTTCAATGATAGCAGAAGATGAAATCTTTGACAACTTCAATCCGTTTATCATGTTACCTATTGGTTTAGTTATGAGGATTTTGGTCTTTGGAACATTGAGTCATAATCCATACTGAAAGCTAAAATTCCTAATCTTCAGCAGCAAGTGCTTCAAGTCCTTGTCACTTTCAGCAAACAAGGTTGTGTCATCTGCATGTTGAAGGTTATTAAAAAGCCTTGCTCCAATCCTGATGCTGCATTCTTCTTCCTGTAATCCAGCTTCTTTGATGATTTGCTCAGCATACAGATTGAATAAGTGTGGTGAGAGGATACAACCCCGACACATACCTTTCCTGATTTTAAAACATGCAGTATTTCCTTATTCTGTTCACACAACTGCCTCGTGCACCATATACAAGTTTTGAATGAGCACAATGAAGTGTTCTGGAATTGCCATTCTTCTCAGGGCTATTCATAGTTCATTATGAGCTGCATAGTCTAATGACTTGGCACAGTCAACAAAACACAAGCAAACATTTTTCAGGTAGTCTCTGCTTTCAGCTAAGATTGATCTGACATCACCAATGCTTGGTTTTGTTTGTTTTTCTCTTTTTCTTTGATCTTTTGTTCACTTTTTGTTTTGTCTCCATTATTGTTTTGCCTACTTATATAACATAAGCATGGGAGGCAATGGTTCCAGGGGACTTGGGAGGAGTAGGAGGGGTGTGTGTGTAGTAGTTACATAATCTGGTGTCAATTTGAGGATTCAGAGTGAATGGGTATAGTCTAGACTGTCAATCAAGAAGTAGCTGATGACCTCATTTGGAGGCACTAAGGTTACAGATAGCTTGCTGGAGCTGGGACACATGTTCACTCCCTGAGAAACATCCCTGTGGAGAAGACACATGGAGAGAAGTTGATGGAGCCAGAATTCTGGAGCTGGAGAAGCCATGTGGAGACCCTGCGAGTGCTGAGATGCTTATGCTACCACTGGACCCACAAGACTTCCCACCCACTGGCCTGTGATCTTCCTGCATTTGGTGTCATTGCATGTGTTTCACGAGTCAGAAGAGGACTTTATAGATTGGAATTGGACATATGGGCTAATATCGGACTTATGGACTTCATCTGGACTGGGCTTGGATGTTTTCTCAATATTCAATTGCTCTTGTATATAAGCCTTTTATGTGCATATGTGTTTATGAATTAGTTTTTCTAGTCTAACCAGACTAACACACAAAGGAAGGGAGTGGTGAACAAACAATGCCATCGACCAAGGGACAACTAGGGAATTAAAAGCAACAGTAAGGAAGATGTTGAGATTCTGGTGGTGTTGGGGTAACAGCAATCTAACTGACAGGAATTACTAAGAGGCAGAAGAAGGGTGAGCATGATGGTGGGGCATGAGGAAGGTCAAAGGAAACAGAGGAAAGATCTAGGAAGCAAAGCTATTGATAGAGGTATAAACATAGGTGTGCACATAGTAAATATATTATTTCATAAAAATCAAAGTATTGGCCTATATACATTGATTTATATGGCCATATATTGAGGAAGAGGCTGGACTTCGGGCCTCTGCTGAAGCCCTCCCTAAACACTTTGATCTAACAACCTGACATTCTGTGATGCTCACCCTCCCATCCCCATCACTGAAGACAAATTGGGTGCATAAACAAATGTGGTGAGGAAAGCTGATGATGCCTGGCTATCCAAAGATAGTAATATCTGGGGACTTAAAGGCTTGAAGTTAAATGAGCGGTCATCTAACAGAGAAGCAACAAGGCCACATGGAAGACGCTCAACCGTTTTGAGAATGAGGAGGGTTGGAGCAGAGACCCAGCCAAAACCCATCTGTACGCGATAGGACATCCCCTCATAAAAGGATCGCAAGGAAGGGATGAGTCAACCAGGGTGCAGTATAGCACTGATGAAACACACAATATTCCTCTGGTGCTTTGAGGCTTCCTCAGCCCCCCACTACCATGACTCCGGTCCTAACCTTCAGTTCTGGCTAGACTGGAGCCTGTAGACTGGTACAGATAAGAACTCAGAGCACATGGAATTCAGGTTAGATAAACCCCTCAGAAATAGAAATGGGAGTAGCGATACCAGAAGGGTAGATGGAACGTGTGTGGAGGACAGGAGGAAGGGGGAATCAAACTGTCCCCCACCCACCAGATGGACAAACAACAGAAACTATGGGGGAAGGGAGACAGCAGTCTGTGTAAGATATGAAAATAATAATTTATAATTTATTGAGGGGCCACCAGGGGAGGGGGAAGAGCTGATACCAAGGCTTCAAATAGAAAGTAAATGTTTAGAAAATGATGATGGCAACATATTTACAAATATGCTTGATATAATTGATGTATGGAATGTTATAAGAGCTGTAAGAACCCCTAATAAAATGATATTAAAATGTTTTTGAAAGAAAAAATATATTAAACAATATCTTTGTAAATTGTCAAAAATAAATTCTTAGTAAAATCAATAAGGTTCGTTGAAAACTAAAGAACAACAACAAAAAAACACTGTGGAGTACAGTTCTACTCTGAGACACCTGGGTTGCCATCAGAGTCGACTGACTGCATGTCAACTATTTTTTGTCTTTTGATACAAACTGCTTTCCTTAAAATCAAAGTTTTCCAGCATATTCTATAACACTAAAACACATTTAAACATAATTGATGAATGTAAAATGAAAACACTTGAGTGATTTTTTAATTAAAAATTTAAATTAAAACAAGAGAGTTATTTTCTGCAAATAAGGACGTTTACACATAAAAGAGAGAAGCCCTGGCGGCGTAGTGGTTGCATATGAAGACAAAAACAAAGTCAGTCCTTAGAAAGTCACTTCATGATTTTCCTTTTTTCTCTAGGCCTATCAGATACCAAATGTTACATTGGCTTTTTTTTCATTTTTATTCAGGTGAACTGTAAGTCATGTGATTGTGTGGATGTTTTTGTTTCCCACTAAACCACACAGAGGATCCCAGGTAAAGTAGTGACGTTAATGTTGGGCTATTGATCATAAGGTCAGCACTTCAAACCTACCAGCTGCCCTGCATGAGAAGGATCAGGCCACCTGCTTCTGTAGAGATTTTGAGCTTCAGCAACCCTGTGGAATGTATCAGCTCCCCAATATGTTCTCTATGGGTCAGAACTGATTTGAGGGCAGTGGGGTGGTAGTCTAGGAAACCCTACGGGGCAGTTCGACTTAGTCACATATGAGTGAAAAATGGACTTGATAGAAGAACTCAACAACCTAATCAAAATCAAACTCACTGCCACTGTGTCAATTCTGCAAGTGAATGCAGGCTCCTAAAAGTCAGGACAGGAAAGCAATTCACAATTTAGTCAACTTTTTAATTGTGACAAAAACGAAAACAAGAAAAGGACACAAATGGAAAGAAAATATGTGCATTACATAGCGTGAAATAGGGAAATAGCCAAACAGAATGAATTAAGAAAAACCACACCAAGCGCACTACCATTGAGTCTATTTAGACTCATAGCAACCCTATAAGGCAGGATAGAACTTTCCTCGGTTTCTGAGACTATAACTACTTACAGAAGTAGAGGGCCACCTTTCTCCTGTGGAGCAGCTTGTGGTTTTCAACTGCTGACCTTCCTGTTAGCAGCTCAATGCATAACCACTAAACCACCAGGACTCCTTCTATATGTAAATATGGCTTAATTAAATATGTGTGTGTATGATATATGATATGTTGAATACACATATGCATGTATAAATTATCAGCATATTATATATATATATATAGATAGATAGATAGAGAGAGAGAGAGAGAGAGAGAAGAGAGGAGAGAAAGAGAGAGAGAGTTAGATAAAAGAAGCCCTGGTGGCAGAGTGTGGTAGATGTTGAACTGCTAATGTTAAGGTTGGCTGTTCAAACTCACCAGCCATTTGTTGAAGGATGAGTATATATACTTCCTAAAATAATTACAATCTTCCTTTCTTGTGCCCTTTTAAGGTTGCTGAAGTACTTTAAGAGGCTAACAGTTAAAGCGAGTCTCCATAAAACCCAGAGATGAGGTTGGTAGAACTCGTCTTTGGATCCTGTCTGGAGTCACAGCTGAAAAAAAAAAAAAAGAATTATAGTCTCAGAAACTCTAAATATAGTGGAACCCCGGTACTCGACAGCATCAGTACTCGACATAATCAGATTTCAATGCAAAATGTTGAAGATTTTTTTTTTTTAGAGAAAGCCAGCCAGGTCCTAGTGGAAAAAGGCAAAGAAGGGGAAAAAAACTCCTGAAAAGCAACTACCAGTTGATTTATTGGAAAGGGATTACCCTTCCAAACAATGACCTTCTCTCTCCATCCCTCCTCTCCACATTCATGTCCACAGATCCACATCCTATTCGATCTCAAGGTATGGGCCATACCATAGTTGTTAAAAACTTTTTTACTGTTGGGTTTCTTATTTAAATTATATTATTTAACACTGACCTTTTCTACTTTGAAGTTTCTGGCAATGTTTTGTATAAAATGGCAAGGTTAGGGTAAAAACTTGGTGGTCAAGAATGGATTAATCTGTTTTCAGTTATTTCTTATGGGAAAAATTGATTCAGAACTCAACTGCATCTTATCTCAATGCTCCTTCTAGAACGGATTAGCATCTAGGTCCGGGGTTCTACTGTACAGGGTCACTGTGAGTCGGAATTAACTCCATGGCAATGAGTGATGGGTCAGAATTAACTGATGGAAATGCATTTGGATTTCACACACACACACACACACACACACACACACACACACACACCTATGAAAAGGAGGGGAGATAAAAAAGGAGCGAATAAGGAAAGACTGATATAAATATAGAAAATAAAGCAAATTCAATAGTGTCTTTAATTCTCTAAGGAACATAGCAATGAAGTAGAAGGCTTCAAAAACTGTGTGAAAATAAAAGATAATGGACTTATTCCATGAACATTTTTAAGCCCTTTCTTATAGATCTACTTGAAGAAAATGACTCGTGATTGTGGAGGCTGGCAAGCTCTAAATCCTTGGATGAGACAATAGGCTGAAGGCTTCTGTTGGCTCATGTGGTTAAAGGGCAGATAAACCTCAATTCTGCTGGTCAGGTGGCAGGATGAACGTTTCTTGTAGCTCCTATCCCAAGAGTTCATATGGTGGAAAGCATGCAAGTTTGAAAGAAGGAGAATTACAGAGAATGTTTTTTGAAATTATTTATATATTTTGGAGTCACGCTTCATTCCCAAGAAAATTCCTTTCAGTTGATTGATTGCTCATATCAGATACCACAATGAAAAGTCATTGCACTGTGCTTTCCAAATCACTGACAATCATAGCCTAGCCAATTTGATTTATAACATTAGCCATAGCAGATATTATGAAGAGGACTGCATTGAAAATAATATTAAAATTTTGATAAAGGAAGATTAAGTAGAATCTAGAATTCAAGCTAAAGAGTTTAGATTTTATCTTGTAGGGCAGTGATTTTCCATTCCAAGAGTTTCTGATTCAGATGGTCTTATAGAAAACTTGAGAAGTTACATTTCGAATCTAAGTAGCACTTAGGTGATTCTAGGATTACTGGCCCTGGTATCACACTTGGAAAGCTAGTGCTGTGGACAAAGTGGGTTCATTAGAGATTTTTCAGCAGAAAGCTATAAAGAAAAGGCCATATTGGGAAGATAAAATTGGCTATCAAATTCAAACTCACTACCATGAGGTTGATTCCAACTCATAGTGACCCTATCAGACAGGATAGAACTACCCCTATAGGTTTTCAAGACTGTAACTCTTAAAAAAAATTTTAAACAGTTTTATTTGCACTTCATCCACATATCATATAGTTCAATAATTCAATCATATCAAGAAGACTTGTTCAACTGTCACCACAGTCATTTCTAGAACATTTTCTTCATCCTTGTACTCATTATTATTTATGTAATTATTATATTTTCTAATTGTGGCAAAAATAGACACAACAAAACATGCTGAAATTCCACAACTTCTAAATAATAATTCAGTGCCATTGATTATACTATTCATGCTGCACAGACATTATTGATATCTTTTTCCAAATTATTCCACCACCATTAACATAAACTAAATCCTTCCTAAGGAACAACTCTCTTCTCCACCCATGGACACTATTGGTCAATTCTTATTTATTTATTTATTTCCTTTTTAGTAGTTTTCTTGATACAATATTCATATACCTCTTGTTTCCATGGTTACATCGCTTTAAAAAGAGTTGTTATACACCATCACAATCAGTTCTGCTCTCTCCCAACTTCTACATTCATTGTTTGCTCCCAAAGTCCCTGACTGTGTTAGTCCGGGTGGACTGGAGAAAAAAAAAATCATAGACACACATATGTCTATAAGGGAAAGGTTTTTATACAAGAGAAATTGAACACTGAGAAAACATCCCAACTCAGTCCAGTCCAAGGTCATAAATCCGATATTAGCCCATATGTCCAACAGCAATCTATAAAGTCCTCTTCAGACTCATGAAACACATGCAATGATGCCACATGTAGAAGATCGCAGGCTAGTGGGTAGAAAGTCTTTGTTGGTAGAAGCATCTCAGCACTGGCAGGGGTCTCCATGTAGCCATTCCAGTTCCCAGGGCTTCATCAGGGTAGGTCCATGTGGCATCTCCTCAGGGATGCCTCGCAGGAAGTCAGCCTTGTCAGTAGAGAGTCTCCAAGGGAATGAACCAAGAGAAAAAGTGTCTCTCCTGCCTCCAACAAGGAAGTACCAGATTTCCCAGAATTCTCAGGAGAAGGCCATGCCCACACAGAAGTCTCATTGGCTATCTCCAGTTTGACAGCCTAGACTCCACCCCTAGACTCTTAATCCTTAAATTGACACCAGATTAGGTGACTACCACATTTACCCTCTCCAACCTCACCCCCACCACATATCCCATAAACTATTGTATTAGTTATTGTCTCTATGCATCCAAGAATGTAACTTTACAGGAATAGAGAGCCTCATCTTTCTCCCAAGGAGTGGCTGGTGATTTTGAACTGCTGACCTTCCAGTTATCAGCCCAACACGTATTCCACTATACCACCAGTGTTCCTCAAAATTGGCTATAGCATTCAAAATATATTGTGGGGACACGATTTGAAATAGAAATTTTAAGTAATTAAATAGTGTGTAATTGGCATTGTAATTAGTTTAGTGGAAATAAAGAGCAGTGTTGGAAAAGGTGGTATATAGTAGAAGAATCAAGAGCTCTCAATAATTTGCATGTAGAAACAGAGGGAAAGAAATAGAAAAATTATGTAGTTTTCTATATTAGTGTGCCTACAGAAATAACCCTGCTATGAATTTAAGAGAAGTGGATAAGGAAAATCATTTGGACAGGAAATAGTATGGATTTGAATTTGCATAGCCATTGAAGATAAAATATACATCTGCTTATTTTCAAATTTTAATCACACTCACTCACGATAGGTGAATTACTTAAAAAAAAACCACCTTTTTATTGTGCCTTGGGTGAAAGTTTACAAAGCAAATAAGTTTGTTATTCAAGAATTAATACACATTTTGTTTCATGTCTTTGATTGCAATCTCCTCAATGTAACAAACACTTGTCACACTTCTACCCTGTGCTTCCTATGAGAGGGTACTCCCCCAAACTGGAAAAAAAACTACACTGGATGGATCTTTCATAGTACACATTTTCCCCACAAGTTAAGCATTGAGAAACTTGCTCTGAGTTAGTGCACCCACTGGCATCACCTGGGAAGTCTCTCTGGTCACAGTAAATTGTTTTGTCAAAGCAGTTTCACTTGACCCTTGTGGTTTGTGATGGCAGATTTAAGAGAACAGTGTGCAGCTGTGAAATTTTGTTTCCTGCTCGGGAAAAAATGCCACAGAAACTCTTGTGATAATGAACACAGTTTACAAGAAAAATGCTATGGGAAAAACTCAAGTGTATGAGTGGTTTTCTCATTTCAAAAAAGGTGAAATGTCAATTGATGACAAACCTTTTTCCTGCACATCTGTCAACTTCCCAAATAGATGAAAATGTCGACTGGTAGTGCATTTGGAGTTCATTTCCACCAGGTCAGACTGTTTGTGGTAGTCACCTAATCTGATGTCAATTTAAAGATTAAGAATGTAGGGGTGGAGTCTAGGCTGTCAATCTGGAGATAGCCAATGAGACTTCTGTGGGCATGGCCTTCTCCTGAGAGTTCTGAGAAATCTGGTACTTCCTTCTTGGAGATGGAAGACACTTATCTCTCTCTACTACTCCCTGGGAGACATTGCAGCTGACAGGCCCCTGAAGCTGGAAGAGTCACATAGAGACCCCTCCCAGAGCTGAGATGCTTACAATGCCACTGGATCTAAAGACTTTCTACCCACTGGCCTGTGATCGTCCTGCATTCAGCATCATTGCATGTGCTTCATGAGTCTGAAGAGGACTTTATGGATTGCTGTCAGATATGGGCTAATGTTGAACTAATGGACTTGATCTAGACTGGGCTGGGATGTTTCCTCAATGTTCAATTGCTCTTGTATATAAATTTCTTTCTTATACACATATGTGTGTCCATGGATTTGTTTCTCTAGTCTACCTAGACTAATACGTGTTAATCTAGCTTTCTATTTAGAGGTTCTGAAAAGATTGCATAACAGTGTGAGACAAAAAACAGGCCCTATTTGTGGCAAACGTGAATTGTTTTGCCACCATGACAATGCACCTGCTCACGAAGCCATCTCAGTGTGCGAGTATTTTTGCAAAAACACAGCATGCCTCTCTTGCCCCATGCACCTGACTCACCTGACCTCACTCACTTCTTTTTGTTTCCATGAATGAGGAGGGGCATGAAAAGACAGTGATTTGATGATGTAGAAGAGGTGACGAAAAGAAAAGGGAGTTGCTGTCATCCATCCCAACGGGTGTGTCTGAAAAATGTTTCCAAGAATGGAATCACAGATTTGACAAATGCATGAAGTATGATGGAGAGTACTTTGATGGTGCTAAGGTTGTTTTGTAAAAAAAAAAAAAAATACATAGCTTTGAGGAAAAAACATTGTTTCTTTGGGGGGGGTACTCCCTCATATATAGATTCCTCCATCTCTCC